TTAATTAAAATGGAATTTACTGTTTTAATGGCTGATTATTATTTTATCAATAAATCTGTTTTCACTTAATTTTTCTTTTTAAACCAGATTTTCTTTTTTTTTAAAGTTTTTTATTTATTTTATCTGTTTGTGTTTTCACTTTTTATTTTTTTGCTGCTTGTTTGTTGTTTTAAATCTGTTTTTCTTTGTTGTTCTAGTTGCTTGTTTGTTGTGTTGTTGCTTTATTTGTCTTCTTTGTTGTCGCTCCGTCATTGAAATTTTTTACTTCTGTTTTTTTATTCGTCTTTGTTTGTTTCTCGTTTGTTTTTCTTTGCTGTCGTTTGTGTTTTTTTGTCGTAGCTGCTTGTTTGTTGTTTGCTGCCTTTTTGCTGTTTGTTTTTGTTGCTGTTCTGTTTGTTGCATTTTTAGCTTTTTGTTGTTTGTTGTGTTTTTAGCTGCTTGAGTTTTTCTTTTTTGTTGTTAATTGTTTTTCTTTTTACTCTTTGATTGTTTTTCTTGTTTCGTCTGTTTGTTGTCTTTTTGGTTTGTTTTTCATTTGGAAATTTGTTTTTCTTTCTGTTACACCTCAATGTTTGTTTGTTTGTTTGTTTGTTTGTTTGCAGCCTTTTTATTTCACACTTTTGTTGTTTATAATTTGTTTATTTGTTTTTCTGTTTGTTTTCCTTGTTGTTCTGTTTGTTTGTTTGTTTGTTTGTTTGTTTGTTGTGTTTTTAGTTTTTCTATTGTCTCCGTTTGGTTGTTTTTTGTGACGTTTATTAACGAGCCGCGACTTCCTGAAACTAAACTTATTAAAACCAGATCGATGGTTGTTTACTCTCCGTATCCATGGCAACACCAGTAAACGACTGAATCTCTTCACTCAAGCTTCTTAACGTTTAACTGACGTAATGTTCAGGAACCACTTTGACCTTTTCTCGTCATCTCAGAATCAGGATCTCGTTAACGACTTTAAAAACCTTCGATCTAAAGTCTGCTGAAGTCAAAACCTCATGAAGGAATGAAGTTGTTTCTAAAAGCATCAGAACCAGAACGTTCTGCCGACGGCTTCATTAGAACCCGTCAGCGTGAGTCTCGGCGACGCTTCATTTCCGGTTCTGTCGCCTCGTCGGTTATTGTTCCGTCACTTCAGCCTGATCTGATCTTCATTAAACCGTCTCTGATGTCAGCAGAGAAACTTTTAATCTCAGTGATGCTTCTGAAACAGAACCGGCTGTAGCGGCACAGCGCCATCTGCTGGCCGGAGCCGACGGCTGCAGGAGGCTTCTGGTGACGATCAGGTGTCTCCAGAAATAAGGAAAAGATCTCATTTAGAAAGGAAACGCTGACATTTAACGATTTGATCTTCATTCAGAATGAGCTGACAGGAGCTCAGTGATTCTGTTTAACAAGTTTCCTGAAATATTAATGAACTGAAAGAACTTTTAACAGAGTCTCTGACCCGCATTTAATTAACGTTACTGAACTTCTATTCAATCTCAGTTTATCTTATTAAAATCCAAATCACACAAAATACATTAAAAATAAAAATACATATTTTTCAAAGAGGCTGATTTTGTTCGTTTTCTGTGGATTCCTCTTCTACACCAAACTCCATTCACATTTCTGACCATTTTAGATTTTTGTCTCTGAAGCCCGTAGATTGTAGTTTTAGATTGTTCACACCAAACTCAATTCAGAAACTTTCTGATTTTACACTTCTTTAATTGTTGCTCCCAAACTCCAGCTGGATGTCTACAGTTTTTATTTTAAGATTCCTGAAGCCAAACTTCAGTCAGAGATAATTTTATATTTGAATATTTTTGACACCAGAATCCAGTCAGAAATCTGCTGATTTTAGACTTCCTTGTGCATCAAACTTTAGGAAACATTCTTTTAGTTCTTGCTGCCAAACTCCAGTCAAAGTTTTGCTTATTTTAGAATTCCTGATTCTTTAAACTTTCATTAAGAAACCTGCAGGTTTTTCTTTCACTTGCCTCAAACCAGACTCCAGTCAGAGTTTTAATAATTTTATCCTCCTTTAATCTTGAAGCCAAACTAGAATCAGACATTTACAGTTTTAACTTTCAGATCTCTGAAACCAAACTCTTGTCAGAAATCTGTAGATGTTTGACTCACAATTTAAAACTAAGCTCCAGTTTTTAACTTTACTTTCCTCTGAACAAACTCCAGACAGAGATCAGAAGAATTTTACTCCTTCATATTCTCTAAACCAAACTCCAACGTCTCCAGGTTTTACTTCCACATCCTTCTCACCAGACTCCAGTCACAAATCTGCTGATTTTTAAACTTTCTAAAACATTCTTGACAACAAATTTATTTTCTCAGATTTTTCTTTTTATTTGGAAAACATAAAATACAAAAAATACAGTCAATGAATGAATTCTGTGTCGACATTATTTTACAGTTTTCTTTTTTCTCATTTGTTATAAATACTCATATTAGTTTCCTCCTCGTTCGTTTATTTCCGTCCTTGGACAGCGAAGCAGCAACTAAACCATCCTGCAGTTTAACTTTGTGTTTCAACACGTGAATGTGACGTAAAAACATCCAATCAGAGTTCAGTTTGATTCAGTTTGACTGAAAAATGAACCAAAACTATGAACATTTTTGTCCCTCGGGGTCCAGATCCAAAGATGTTCTGTTCACTGTGAAGCTCAAACGTCTGATTTATGAACAGCTGAGTTCGTTCAACAGTGTTTGTGTGACTGACGGAAACATGACGGTTAAATTATGGACTTTAGGTCGATGTCGTCGATATTCACAGACTCTTGAGAAGCGTTTTTCAGAGAAACGTCGTCAGACACATAAAGTTATTCTAAACAAAGTTTCTTAATGTGTTTGGAAGCGCGTCAGGAGGTTTTAAATAAAATCCAGCCATAGAGCAACAACCTGGGTTCAGCTCCACTTGAACGATCCGGTTCAGAGCTGAAGCTGCTCAGAGTTCCTCAAACAGTTTCCTCCAAATGTCGCCCCGAGTCCGGAGATGAATGAAGACGTCTCCTGTGGAGCTTCACAGGTCGACCGGAGGCCCAAACATCTCCATGGTCTCGAGGACGAGCTTCAGATGGTCCAGGAAGGAGTTCACCGACACGCGCAGGATTCGAGCCTCGTCGGCGCTCCACCTCCTGAAACGAACAGACGCTCAGCGGAGACACTCAAACCGACTCGGAGACATTTAGAGGCTGAAGGAGGAGCTCAGAGGTTCTCACACAGACAGAGTGCTTCCTGCCACCGTCAGATGTTTGGTGATGCCGCCTTTCCTCGGCTCGCGGTCCGGCGACAGCGAGCGCAGAGCGATGGAGGCTTCACGGGCCGACGGGAAGGGAACGTCCAGAGAGCTGCAGGAGGTCAAGGAACCGGAAACTGGACCGACATTTAAACACCAGAACCTGAGAACGTCTGAGAAAGAGACTACTTCCTGTTTTACTTAAACTAATTTACTTCAGTTTGGAAATAAAAAACAAATCTCTTCTCTGTGGTAGAAACGTTCCAAAATAAAAGCTGCAGCATGAGTTTCATGTATTTCAGAATAAAGGCCTGTGTGGCTTTCAGTGAATTTCAGGTCTGTGACTTTTCGTACAAAATAAAAGTGCAGTAACTGTTATTGATTTTCAAAATAAAGGCAAAGTAGAAATGCAGCACAACTTCTATTTTTAAAATAAAGTTGCAGTATAAGTTTTTATTTCAGAATAAAAGGGATTTTTCAACATAAAGGTGTCGCGTAACTTGTGTTTTTTCAAAATAAAGGTGGTCTCACTTTGACTTAAAGCTACTACCAAGGACTGATTGACATTAATTACCTAATAAAAATGAACTCTTCTTTCAACACTAAAGTAGTTGCGACTTTTAATTTGTCAGCATATAAATGTAGCCTTTGTGGTTTAATAATAAAGGTGAGATCTGATATTTTACTTTTTATTTATTTCAAGATTAAAGGGCAAAAGTGGAGCGTGGGGTTTATTCATTTTTAAAAAAAGGAGCTATATGAATCTTACATTTCAACATAAAAGCATAACGTAGCCTCTATAAGCAGAAATATTATTAATCACTATTTATCTTGTTAATTACAATCTAAACATGGATATCAGACAAAGCAAACACATAAACAACACCAGAGAACTGACTACAATCTAAATGTCAGATGATGCTGTAAACACTGTTTCTGTCACTACTATTACATTTCAAGAAATATTTCAGTCTAACAAAGACCCACGAACTAAATCTTAGATCTGATAACTAATGAAGAGCCACTGAGTGTAATTCATGATAATCGACATTAGCTTCAATGATTGAGTCTGTTTGACTCTAAATTGATTTTTGCTTCAAAACTACAAACAGCTGTCAGAGTTAAAGCTCGTTTCTCTCTAAAACTGCAGTGAAAGAAATAAATACAGTGGAAATACTCGAGTAGAAATATTTCAATCCTGTACTTCAGATGTACTTCGTTACTCGTTACCAGAGACAGAATAAACTCCTGAGAGCTGCCCAGTTATCCAGAATAACTCATTTAATCTGAAAACAGGCCAAACTCGTGTATTTCAGCTTCACTGACATTAAAACTGAAGCCTGAACTAAATATTAAACTAAACATCAACACAAACAGCAGCGGTGCACCAACATAGCGGCTAACAGCTAACCGGAAGTTCGTGTTCGCTGCAGTTTTTGGTGATTTAACGTCCAAACAGCGACTTTTTTCTGAACCTTCACAGACTGAAAGCACCTCAGAGTTAAAACCCTCCGCTCACGCTAAAGGATACAACTCCAGTTTACCGCTTTCCTGGTTTGTTTCTCCGTCCGTCTCCATCGCGGCTTCTGCTGCTGCCGAAGAAGAAGGAGAAGAAGAAGAAAGTTCTTCTTCGTGTTTGGCGGAACGCAGACGGCGACGAGGCGCTGCTGCCTCCTGCGGCGGAAAGAAGAACTACAACAACAACTACAACAACAACAGCAGAAATCACAGGATGAGGAAAAACTACTCTCATAAATATAAAAAAAGTATTTAAAAATGTTTATTCTTCCTTTTTTGAATAAATCTATTTTTTCTGAATGTATTCTTCAGTGTCTCACTGAAAATGCAGCTTTTACTACAACAGAAGTATATTTATATATATTTGTAAATAAAAATGTTTATTTAGTTGTAACCTCATAAATTCCTGCCGTATGTAAATATTGTTATTATGTTTTGTGATTATATTTTCAGTAGTTTCAGTGCATTTTATACTTTCAATATAAACTGAAGTGAGACTTATTTTTTCATAATAAAAGCAGTTCTAATAATTTTTTATTACAAAATCCATCCATCCATCGTCTATACACCGCTTAATCCTCTCCAGGGTCATGGGGGGCTGGAGTCTATCCCAGCTGACTCAGGGTGAAGGCAGGTTCACCTGGACAGGTAACCAGTCTATCACAGGGCTACACTTAGAGACAGACAACCAAGCACACTCACATTCACACCTACGGACAATTTACAATCACCAGTTAACCTCAGCATGTTTCTGGACTGTGGGAGGAAGCCGGAGAACCCGGAGAGAACCCACGCTGCACGGGGAGAACATGGAGACTCCACGCGAACCGGCGACCTTCTTGCTGCGAGGCAACAGTGCTAACTAACTGCGCCACCTTGCAGCCCTTTATTATGAAATATTATCTCAAAATATAACTAGTTGATTTATCTCACAATAAAATTGGAGTGTGGGTTGTATTTATATAAAAATAAAAGGCTGCCATTTATGTTTAATATGAGGTAAAGGCACTGCAGGACTTTCATTTCAAAATACAAGGTGAAGTTTAATTATTTCAAAATAAAACCATTTGTAAAACAAACAAACAAAAAACATTTAAAAAGTGAAGCAGAACTTTTATTTTTTACAAAATAAATGTGAGGGGCTGACTTTTGTTTGTGTCAAAATAAAAATGCAGATAAGTTATATTTATTTTTCAAAGTAAAATACTTATATAAAGTTCTTTAATCATTAAAATGCAGTTTATTTATGTATGTTTGTCAAAATAAGAGGTGCTGACTTTACAAAATATGAAATGAAAATATAAGTGCAGTGTGAGTTTTATTTCTTTCGAAGTAAAAGTGGATCGTGAGATTTTTTTCAGATTAAAAGTGTTTTGTAAATGTAAATAGCTCTATAAATGTTTTTTTAGAAGTGTAGAATATGATGTATAAATGAGCTTCTTTTTGTTCATATAAAACTATATGTACGGCATTAGTTTCATTTCTTTCAAAATAAAAGTACAGTGTGAGATTTGTTTTTTCTTCTTTTAAATGTGATTTAAAGTGTTTTGTAACTCGTGTGTTTCCAAAATAAAAGCGCGGCGTCTTTTATTTTGTAGGAGCGCTGTCAAACTCAGCTGTGCGCAGCCTCCCGGAGCTCCTCGGTGCGACTCCGCTGAGACGCTGCTGCTGATGTTGGTCCATCAGGAGAACCGCTGATCTGCTCCAGTGATCGATGAACGTATTGATCTGTTCTGATCGGAAGCAGCTGATCGATAGAATCCGAGCCGCAGCTTCTCTTCGTCTTCAGAGAAAAAGTGAGTAAAACATGAGTTTATGTGTAGAAATAAAAATAATTATTAGTGAAGAAAACAGAAAGAAAAGAAGAAAAATCAAAGAAAATGTTGGTTTATTAAAAATAAGAAAATAAAACGAGATAAATGTTCCTGAAATATTAAAACTAAAATCAGTGAAATGTGTGATTAAAGTTCCTGATTTAATGTGAGTAAAGCTGATTATTGATTTCATGGATCAATCTGCTGATTGTTTTACTCAATTAAGTGTTTTTCTATAAAATCATCAAACTGTAAATCAGAATTAAAATCATTTAGATTAAAATTTATCAAAAGAAAAGCAGCAAATCGTCACGTTTTGAGAAGCACAGAATGTTGTTGGTTATTAAATCAATCAATAACCAATCGCTTTATTGATTACTGTGAATCTGACGGGTTTATTTTATTTTAATGTTTAAAAGAACGACTCGTTTTATGTCTTTGTGGTCATCTAATGCTTTTATTGTGGTGACTTCT